ATAAACATATGCATACACATTGTGCCTCTAAATTCAAACAAATGACAACTACATTTGCATGTGCAAGAGCTGAAGTCAAATTCCACTATGAAATAAATAGTCTTGTAAAAGTCGTCCGTAATTTTCTTTTCTTCTTTGACATGATACATTTTACCTTCATCGCATTGAATGATGTCACAATAAAGCTTGCCAACCACTTCTTCTTGAAACTCCTTGAACTTCGCTAGTGTGTATAATCCTTGCATTTGTTTTTCCATTGCAAAAGAAGTCACACATGGTATTAATTTTGTAAATGAATTAGTGTCCGCTTGAAACTCTTTTTCAGCCTTACATTTTAAGGCACGACCATATTGCTCCACAAATTGTTTCAGACTTGTTTTCGAGTGCACAAAATTATCGAAGAAGGCGTTCATGCTCTCACTTCGTTGAGTTGTTGACATACCCACCCAGAATGTAGGTTTCAAGTAACAAGGAACCCACCTATATATGACGTTCATCGTACATGACCCTAAGCCATTCGTCATCTTGAAGTGAATACCTACGATTAATACACAAGATGAGTTAATTGTCCCAGATTACTAATGTCTGGCCCAGACATAATTTGTCTGGCTGTAAGACAGAGATTAGTTAATTGTCCCAGACTCCTAATGTCTGGCCCAGACATAATTTGTGTGGTTGTAAGACAGAGATTAGTTAATTGTCCCAGACTCCTAATGTCTGGCCCAGACATAATTTGTCTGGCTGTAAGACAGAGATGCGTTAATTGTCCCAGACTACTAATGTCTGGCCCGGACATAATTTGTCTGGCTGTAAGACAGAGATTAGTTAATTGTCCCAGACTCCTAATGTCTGACCGAGAAATAATTTGTCTGGCTGTAAGACAGAGATGAGTTAATTGTCCCAGACTACTAATGTCTGGCCCAAACATAATTTGTCTGGCTGTAAGACAGAGATTAGTTAATTGTCCCAGACTACTAATGTCTCGCCCAGACATAATTTGTCTGGGAATAAATAATAGATTTCCATGCTAATGTGTACCACCTTTCCAAATGAGATTTCCAACCGACTTCAAACTCACCAGGGAATTGGGAGTCATATATTGTATCATGTATACCATCCATAATTTTATCTTTATGGGTAAACCCTCCCAACTTCTCCGGTAGCTTCTTCATGATGTGCCATAAACACCATCGGTGTCGCGTATTCGGAAACACTATTTGGATGGCGTTTTGCATATCTCGATCTTGGTCGGTAATAATTCCCTTCGGGGCACACCCATCCATACTGAAGCCAAGCTTTAAAAATCCACACAAACGTATGAGTATCTTCACTCGAGATTAGGCCACAACCAAGTAATATTGATTGACCATGGTGATTGACGCCTACAAATGGCGCAAACGGCATGTCATATCGATTGGTAAGATATGTTGTGTCAAATGTAATGACATCCCCAAAATCTTTGTAAGCATATCGACATCGATTATCTGCCCAAAAAACATTACGTAAGCGTGACTCTTCATCCAAATCAAGCATAAAGAAGAACCCGGGGCATTGAGCTTGCATTCTACAAAAGAAATCCTGTAATGCCGCCGCATCACCACTTCCCAACCTAAGTTTACGCACTTTATCTATATAGTTCCTACAATCCTTTTCAATGAAGGAAAGTTGATCATATCCACCGGCTTCTACAACCGCAGAGTTGAAACTCTTATGAAGTGGTATACCGACGACATCAATGATTGCAATTTGCCTCATAGCTTTCTGTGTCAACCTCCTATTACACCTCATAGGATGGTTATGATCTAAACAAGCCGTTGAAATCACCCAACCTCTGACATAATTTATACGTGCTCTTATTTTGGCAAAGCAACCAACTTGCATCGAAGGTAGAGGCTTCAAAACATTTTGTGCACGACATTGCCTTTTTCCAGCGCGCCCGCACTCTAATGCAATTGCAAATGTCGTTCCATCCCCATCTTTCCTAGAATTCCTTATTCTAACAGGAAGCCCTACTCTTCTCCCGTACTCCTTGTAGAAATCATACACTGCATCTTTACTGGGGAACTCCTTACCAACAACGGGGACTTCAATACAAATCTGTTCTTCCTCTTCATCTGTTATTTTAGAAAAATACACATGTTCACTTCAACATACATTTATCATTTTGTCTCTACAAACAAACAATAATTGTAATAAATACATGCATATTGTCTGTCCGCCAAACCATGTTTCAAAAAAAAAACACCTTTATATAAAGACTCTAACAACTATAAAACCACGTTCACTTCAAACAACTATGAGACCGCGTTTACGTTAGGCTAACCAGACACTGCAGTATCCAATTGTCTGTCCGCCAAACAAAATACAAAGATGACGGAAAATAAACATACTCTCTTCCAAGACTTCCACATCTTCATCATCTTCTTCCCTTGAAGTCGCTTCTACTTCAACAGCCTTCAGAGATGGTGTATTACCACCGTCACCCACCTCATCAAGCTTCTCACCTTCATCTCCCCATGTCAACCCATCCAAACAAAACTCATCACTAAAGTCGGATAAATGCTTCCCCATCACATCCATCCAAGAAGATGATGTAAAGAAGCAGGTAAGACCCTTCGTCGAGCACTGTAGCAGTTCGAAGGTTGGGGTGTGTTTTGGCGAAAACAAGAAGAGTGGGTGGAGGGGTTGGGAGATGTGAGAGAGATATTTTTGGAAAGGGATAAAAGGGATGGTAAAAACAGGGGTATTTATATGAGGTAGGAATCTTTATATATAACAACTCGATCGTCTTGCATTAACTGTTCCCGCCCATGTTAAAAACACGTGACTCACATGACACATACTAGCAAATTTTAGAAATTTTTTAATTTACAATTGAATAACTGCCATATGCACTATAGCAGTCCGCACATAAGATAAATTTGCATCAGCAGAGCACGTATTTCAACCATCTGGCAGTTCTCTCAATAGCAGTTATTTAACACGAAGTCACGAACCCATGTAATTAACCTACCTCATCACTGCAGTATATATCTAAATAGGATGTTTAAAAAAACTACTTAGGATTGCATCATACCACGACAATGAGGTTTTTTGCGTTTATTTGCTGTCTGAAAATGAAAGCTTCAAATAGACTTTATGCAAATACGTACTAATAATAAAGCTGCACCCACGGTTCTGGAGGTTCTGCCAGGAGGCTACAATTGATGGTGTGGAGTGGAGGATACATTGAGAAAGCTACAAGTATAGCCCCGAAAACGGGCGCTACACCAATGAAATCATTTCAGGTATTTTTATTGTTTATATTTGGTTCTCTATGGGAGCAGAATTGAATTTTTTTTGAGGAGCATTATTTTAGTGATTTCAATTAGATTTGCCTTTATGTTTTTTTTTTAATTTTTTTTAAAATTGAAAAGTCATCGGAATTTCTTTTTTTAATTTTATTTATTAGTAAACTTCAAGTTTACGCATGCAGCATACTTTGTAAATGTGAACATGAACGATCTCGGAAATTTTAGTATAAGAAAACCAAAAAATTAATAAATCGTGCTTGAATAAAATTAAGTTATTGAGAAGAAAGGTGCAAGGTAGCTAAGGATAGTGGAAAGCGGTGCCAGTGCCGATGCCGTAAGGAGACAATTTTAACTCAGGGTGAGTGTCGAATAAGGGTGGTTTAATTGGGCCATGAACATTATCTTTGATCATATAACTCAGTATTAACATTCTTGATTTTTTCCAATTATGCCCAAAATCACACTTAAAATATTATGTAATGAAGTAAAATTAAATAGGCCCTATTTTTCTTTAAAATATATTAAAGTTAACTTTAAACGTTGAAAGGAAAACATAGACTATTGACTATTCCAAAAAAGTGAGTTACTGGTATGTACTCCCTCCGTTCCCAAAAATACTTCCCACTTTCCTTTTTGGGCTGTTCCCAAAAATACTTCCCACTTTCCCATTTTGGACAATTTGTGTGGCTCACATTCATTTAGGAACAGAGGGAGTATGATTATTTCACACACACAAAAACAATTTTTAAAAATAAAAATTTTGAGATAGAGTTGCATTTATTGTAACACCTTAGTACTAACTGTTTTTTAATGGACTACGTACATGTTGATACTTTTTTGTTCTTTACTAATCTCCTTTTTATTTATTAGTTAAAGATCTTAAATAAGAAATCATAACCTTATAAATCGATTGAGATTTTCATGTTATTAAGAAAACTCAAAATATATAAACAAAGACTGTATAGTTACGTTGGAGCAACATTTGAAGCCCATTTTGTACTCCCTTTACTCATATTTATGATGGTATATTATTGCTTATATATATTTTGTTAAAAACACTATACATTGCGGTTGATAATACAATATTTGTTTTCCTACATTGACACAAGAATTTTATTTATAATATCCACCTCTAAATAATTATTATTGCAACATCTTCGGTGCAAATCACAAGTGTTACAAGCGAGATGGATACGCATGTCATATGAGTTCTTAGCATCACAGAATAACGATGACCAAATTAATAATATACATATACGCATGTCAATTAGTATCACAATAAATATGCATAGAAAAAAATTCAAAATGTTTAATTTTTTGTGTTGCACTGTTCTTTAGTTTTATTGTGTTTGATATTTAGTATATCAATTTAATATGCCCATATTAAAATTTTCTCTAAAATAAATCTACTATTATTCGTTATTTAGCTTTTAAATTTACAAAATAGCATACGCAAACTATGTTAATTTTTCTCCCGTGCATAGCACCGGTAAGTACGGGTACCTATACCAAATTTGATTTTCAAAAATGATGTTTGTACACACTCTTATACACACTTTTGTACACACCTATGTCTGTGAAATCTTTTTTTTTGTCTGTGAACATCGATTCATAGACAATATTTTGCACAAACAAAATATTGTCCGTGAACCCGTTTATACATCTTTCTATAAACCTGCAGCTTTCCGGCACACCGAATATCGAAGTGAAATAGAAAATGGCTAGCGAAGTCCCTTCGGCTAACATCAACCCGCCCACTTCTTCGTCTCGGACTGCCGAAGTTCCGTCGTCTGAGATTAATGAGTTCTCATATCCGGCACAGCTCCCGCTTCCATCGACGGAACCACATCAGCGGAATAAACCATGGCACACCTATATATCAGAAGATCTTCCTCGCACTGTCCAAGAGTCCACAGATTCCGCCATTCGTTCGGCTCGTTCATTCCAAAAATCCTCCTCCTTTCACCTTCGCTCTCTTCAGGTCCCGATCGTTTTCCTGCCAAATTTTTATGTGCGTGGGTTGAATTTAAGTCACTATGGGCCTATGGCAAATCTATTAGATAAAATCGGAGCATACTTTTAGGGATATAGGCTGAGCAGTTGATATTGTACATTATACGGCATATTAGACTTTGGTCAGTGCCAACAGTAAATTACTTTTGGGTGTATAAGGGATAATTTTGACTTTGCTTGCGGTCATGTGATATTTGACTTTGCATCTCATTTTTATTCGCTCAAAAATCTGGAAAGAAAGAGCAGGGTGCAAAGTTAAATGATTTTATAATGAATTGCGGTGCATACATTAACCATTTTAAGAATATCATCCAAAACGTAAGGTGCAATGTCAAATTCTCCCTATAAATATATATCTGAAGCTGCTGATATCTTGGTATTTAGATGGAGTAACTCAAGTTACATTTCATATCGGCTAGCAGATACGCGTTATAAAGATAGTGGTGACTTTTAACAAGGAAAATATGAAAATGAACAATTAGCTATATTTGGTATAACAGTTAAAAAGGTGTTGGGGTGCCATGTTAACATTAAATTGTAGGGGGTACCCCTAGTTCGAGTGTTTGAACTAGTATACTGCAGGTACCAAGTTTGAATCCTATCGGAAACACTCATTGGCCATTCTAGCTGTGAGCCTGTCAGCTATGGGCAACCTAGGCTGGTTTACCTCCTTGTGGCTCTTTGCCTGCTAGGATCATAACTCATAAGGTGGAGTTTACCCAGTGCACACACTCTGGGTTTCCCTAGTCACAAAAAAACATTATATTGTAGATCACTATAATGCTTCTTTTCTCTGTGTTCTGCTTACATTATACTGCCTTATTTTTCTTTTTCAGGTTTTTCTGCCACAATTAAGCTCACAGTATAAAGCCTATGAAGAGTCTTTTTTCCAGAGAGTTAAAGGTACTATTTTAGATAAATGTTTTCTAGCAAATTGTAAGCAAGGCATCAAGTGTTGTTGACCTGGTGAATAGTGATCTACTTATAGTGTTTGCCTGAGGCGATGTCCAAATATTAGTTGTAAGCGATCAGCAGCAGAAAGCATTCCATAAACTCCTCATGCATTTTATCTATTTATTTATGGGAACATTCCTGAATGTTGAAAATTAAACTTCTTTTTGGGCCTAATTATTATTTATTTAAGTTGGTGTTGGAAATAGCGAGTCTTTGGCTCCATTGTAAATGATGGAAAGTAAACGAAGGAACAAACGTGCATATGGAACAAGCTGATTGTGCTCATAATGCTTAATCTTTGTAGATGCAGTAGGCATCGCAAGAGAACACCCGACTCTAGTTGGTGGAGTTTCTGCTGTTACTGCCCTTATGCTCATGAGAGGTATGATGTTTGCATTTAGTTTTTGTTCATCTAAACAATCCCCGATTTCTCTTCATTATACTGCTGATACACAATGCATGCTGGTTCACCAACATTCTTTAATTAGTTATTGCTAGTTGTGATATATCAAAGTAGACTTGGTTCTTGTTGACTATTTGGCATGTTGGCATCAATATGCCATAGTGCATATCATGCATGGTAATCCCACTCCCTTTACCCGATTGTTTTTCTCTTTTAGAAAAATGTGTATCCTCATGACAGTGACTCGGTGTACCCCGTTTGAATTTTTAACGTTCTCAACTTCTCATAGTCTCAATTTACAGGTCCCAATTGCTAATTTCATGGATGAAGTTAGGAAACCCGTGGTATCTAATCATTAAAAAGTTGTACAAATTAGTTCATGGGTGAAAACGGAATAAGATCAATTGAGAAAAGTATGAAGCTAGTGGTGTTTAAATGGAAAGTGGACCTAATTGTGTGACATAACTAAAAGTGGAAGTGATTCTTATAACATTTGATAAATGGACATGTAATTGTTAAATGAGAAAACATGTGGTTGTGGGAAAATTGATACAACTACGTAGTATTAAGTAGTAATATGCATAAAACCCCTATGCTTAAACACACAATGTTTTAGACATGATAATATTCATGGTTTGCTCTTTTTGCATATCATTATGAGGGTCTATGTTATCTAATCGCCGAGCACTAGCTTCTCAGACATATACCTTGCCAAGTACTTGTTAGACATATACCTACTTGTTCCGTTCCAAATACCGAGTTAAATCTCCGAGTAATTGGCGATTTTCATGATGCGGTGACTCATTTTACATGCCGAGTAACATGGCCGTACAAAAGGATGACACCCCATCACTGAGAGGCCCCAGAATCGACCGAACAATTAACAGAAGGATATAACATGGCCATACTAAAATGTAACTTTTTATTTCTTTTTTTCGAAAATTGAAATTGAAGACAGGGATTTGAAAAAATAGGGATTCTATTTTAGTTAATGGAAAACTTACATTAAAATCTATGTTTTAGAAGTATTTACATCTTAAATTTCACAGGAAGGCTTAATGTCTTGGTGATTTCTCCGTCTTCTTCAATTTTTTCTGCTTCTTACACTTTTTACTTGAAGTTTTATTATGGGAAATTTATCTATATATGGAAAAATAAGTATGAGTAGTGATTGAATTGAAGGGAGAAAAAATCAAAATAAGTATCATACATGCAAGATATCATTAATTCAGGAATAAAAATTGGTTAGTCATATTTTAGGAATCCCCACCTCTTTTAGTCATAATGCTAGCGATTTTCTCTTTTATTATTATTATCATTATATATTAATATATCAATATCCGAGTAATATGCAATGAATGCTTCTGAGAAGTCTTATCAAGAATAACTTGGGATATACTTCATATAAGTTAAAAATTAGTATTGATTAGTTGGCGGGTCTTTATAAAATGTTGGAAAAGGTTCAAATAGACCCTTTTACTATTTCAAATCCATCACTTGAGTCCATATACTAGAAAAAGTACTTCCTTCTTTCCAAATTGATTTGCAAAGTCAACATTTTTTTATGATAAAGTTAAATCATCCCTGTTGATAATTAATTCAATTTTTAATAATTAAATTTACATATTCAGAAATTACATTAAAATCTATTCAAAGTTGCAACCTCCAAATTAGAATATAATTGAAAATTGATATCCTAACTAAGTGAATAAAATGAATCTGTTTGACTCAAAAAATTCAATTTTGCAAATCAATTTGGGATGAAGGTAGTATCATATAAGCACACTTACTTTCATAATACAATCAATCGAGCCATCTTGACCTATTGTAGCAGGTTATTTTTGAAAAAATATATAAGAGAATTGACAAATTTTATAAATATTTATTTAAATTTAAAAAATATAGAATGAGCAAATTAAAAAATAGTAAAAAATTCAAAATAAAGAAGTAATTTAAGAACATAAAAAAATCATGAATCAATTTATCTCACATTTTAACAATTTTTTTAGATTTTTGTTAATAACCTGCTATAACATGTCAAGAACCGGTTCAATTGACGTATTGATCGATTTTTAAAGTAAACGTGCTTATATGATATTTTTTGAATTACAGGGGCTTCACTGATGAATCTTAAATAGTAGAAGGATATATTTGGACCTTTTCACAAAAATGTTTTGATTTATACTAGTTGCTATGGACTATTATTTTCTGCTATATATATAATACTCTGTAAGACTTATTAGACTAAAATGCTATTAATAAATTTTGTGGCATATTTTGTTAAAAGATACTAGTACAGTACCGAGCAATTACCGAGTGATCGGTCCAACTTGCTACTCAGCCCTTGACCAAGTTGCTACTGAGTACCGACTTCCAATATAACTGCTAAGATAAGGGCATTGTCAAGCATGCATGTCTAAAGTTGTACTTGTTGTTTGGTTGTACTTCAATCGTTGAGTATCAGTCGTCATGAAGCTCACTAGGCGATGCTTAGTTGTCGAGGCAGTGAGCTTGCTCAGCTTGTCAGGTTGCCTCACGGCCTTCACTTGAAGAGTGACACCCAGAATTGTCTTTTTTTGTTCAATCAATTTTGACCCGGTAACCAGAGGTGTTTCCCACCACAATTTAAATAGTCAAATTAACCAGGGAAAAAACGATTTTTTTTTCGAATTAATGTTAATTAATTAATCAATTACGAAAATAATACTGGAAAAAAAGTATTTACCGATTTACTGGAAAAAGTCGCCCAACGGTTGGGTGACTTATAAGTCGCCAAACGGTTTGGCGACTTATAAGTCGCCCAACCGTTGGGCGACTTTCCCTTCCATATGAACGCAGACCAGCAGCTACTGCCAGCCATGCATGATCGTGCCTGCAAGGGGCACGATCGTGCCTAATTCCGAAAACAGAATTTCAGCATTTTTTGCCCCAGTTCAACCCAAACTCATCTGTTTGCTATAAATAAGGTTTCTCTTCTCCTGTTTAAGTGTTACGAGCCAGATACAACACATTATAAAACATACAACACACCTGTTCACAAACACATACATAACACCTATTCTCAACAACATACAAGTAATCATCTAATATTCATACTCGAACACATGAAGATAACATTCAAAAGTTTAGAAGAGAAAATGTTGTAAATTGTTCCTACAACATCTGCTGTGCAACAAAAACTCCAATACAAAAAGGCAAACTACAAGTTTTTATGGTCATCTTGATCATCGTGGTCATGGAGATGTTGCTGCTGATGTCTACGCCTACGATGTGGTCGTGGTTGAAGAACCATTCTCATGCTGCGTCTGGGATGATTAAGCCGCCGATGCACGAGACGTCGATGGCATCTCCTGTGATGGGGGCATGTGTATAAGATGGCCGTAGTCGACTCGCCCCAACACATCTGAACACAAGGAGGCAATGCCTGTCAGAGTCTGTCCATACATGTCCACATCATGAGTCTCACTCACTGTGGCAGTAGCCCGCTGATGTATACGCAACAAAGCTCATGTCTGAAAATATGAAACACAATTACAATTACATTGAAATACATACAAGTATTAACTAAATAAAATGACTTACTTTACTAATTAGTAATATACTCACCGTAAGATGCAAAGCCAAGGAGCTAAGCTGATAATGATGAGTAGGGAGTCTGAGCGAAGGAGACACAAACAAACAAGTGATGCTGTAATACCTTCCCATGTAGTCTCCTGAAACAAATGGGACAAATGTCGGTGTTCCAATCACAACTAGCTCAGCTCGCCTGTCCCACGAAGCGACGTATTGGACATGTCTGAGTGCCCAATCCTCCGTATGCTTCCCATGCCTATCCAGTCTATGAAGCTCTACATAAGTGTCGATAGGCCGTGGAATGACCTGCTCACCCAAACTGTCGCAAGACTCGATCAGACAAATGAAGCTCAACAATGTCAAAACATATCAACGGCACACGTGCTCTCCATACGTCCAGCTGGGGGCAACTCTGCAAACATCTCAGCTGTATACGGCATCCATGTAATCTGTTTTATAAAGATACAAAACTAGTATTTATGCTATACATATTATAGCATATGTTATATTACCGACACGATACCTGATCCTCAGACATCCGATCAAATGCATCCCTGTAGACACCGAGCCCAGTAGCGGATGTCATGCGACTTAGATCAGCAAATAGCCATCTAACGATTCATGTAACCGTTTCATTAATTTCATTTTCATTTTCATTTACCCCAGTGCCGCAAAGGCTCCCACCTACGGTGGGGTAAGGGGGGATCGGATGTACGCAGCCTTACCCCTGTACTAAAGCACAGAGAGACTGTTTCCGGATGACCCATAGTGAAAATCCCGTCCAAAATTGCATGGACTGACTGCTGCTTCATAACAAAGAAGCGCAGACAGTTTAGTGAGCCATTTTGACTTATTCCATCATAATCTCAAGCCAAAAAATAATGAATCTTTGGCTCCATTGCACATGATAGAAAAAACCATTTCATTAATATGGATTATTAATATACTTACATTCAACATACAATAACATAAATACTAACGATTGAAAACATACCGACGGCCTAGTGGGTCCTCGCCCCGTACATGATGTGGTCCCAGAAGACGTGGAGGCTCATCAGGGAGTGGGTGTCCATCAATGTCATGATATGCGACTACAAGGGGACGCCCAAGGTGGATATACTCCCATGACCAAATCTGGAGGAGTAGCAAAAATCCTCCAAGCTCTGTGCTCCCTCTATGCCAGCCGCGACACAGCTGTCTGTAGAGATAAGCCAGCGTGGCACTACCCCAACTGAACTGTGCTGCTACATCAAACCCCTCTAGCATAGGCAAGTGCAGCACCTGAATCTCATTTCTGCTCTTTTTAGCGAAAATGGAGGCTCCCATCATCATCAAGATATATGCCCGTGCATGCTGCTGGATCATCACCTCATCAGCGTCCGGATGAAGCACCTGGAAGTGCTCCC